TACCCTCCCCTGGCCATCACCCAGCTCTTTTCTCAGCTGGGCCACCACACATCCCAGATGTGCACACCACCAAGGACAGTGGCATCACCAGCCCGCACCAGGGTCCCGCCCCACTCACATCCCCCAAATGCTAATCAGAGAAGCTTTTTCTAGAGTCCTGTGAGCTGGGTAGGTGTGCACTGAGCACTGACTGTACCAAGTAGACCCAGGGCAGGGATCAAAGATGAAGGTCCCTGTTCCCAGAAGTCATGACTAGAAGTCCAGTGCAAGGCTCTCCAGGGGTTACATTGCTGGCACTCAGGATGGAGTGCAGGGCACTGAAACACAGCTGTTAGTGTTGCAGGCAGCTGAGTTAGTCAGAAGTATTACAGGCAATGAGATAGGGCTAGGTCCTCAAAGGAGCCAGTGCAGGGGAGACAGACACCTCCTGCTGTGGGCCAAAAGGATCAAACAAATGCATCTACATCCTAAGGACTGATATTCTAATTAGTTCCCTGTCACCCTGGAGTCACTATCCCATCCCCCTAGGGGAAAGGTCAAGGCTCCAAGAATGACTTGCTTTCCCATTTGTCTCTAATGTTATCAATTTTTCCTGAACTATTAATCTTATTAGCTAACTATAGTTATGCCCCACATTATACCCATCTGCTTTGTGAGTTCCCAGTCTTTCCCCATCTTGGACCCTGGTTTTACTCTATAAAAGTCCCTGGAAAAGACAGAATCCTGGGCAACCCACTTGGGTCCCCTTCTGTCTCTCTCTCAGACAGAAGCTTTCTTTCTCTCAATAAATATATTCTATTCTTCACCTCCGTTGTTCTTAAAATTCATTCTTCGATTTTAGAGAACACGAGCTCATACTGGACATAGTTGGTCAGGAGTTTCATTCCCTGTATCACTAGGAAGAGTCTCACTCCGAGCAGCAGCATCACCTCCTTGAGAGGATATGGCTAGGACCAAGCACAATGTGAGCTTCCTGGTGACCCTTCTAGGCCAATCACCTTTGTAACATCTTTGTAACAGTTGAGTTTGCATCCACACTGAGGATCTGTCCCTTTCTGCTTCCCTATCAGTCTGTCTTGCTTTTGGTGTCTCTGTTCTATTACTCTTACAACCCTTAGATAATCTTCCTATGAATGTGTCTTCCATATACACTGTCTCACCTACTGCACACTTGAAATCTCCCCTCACGTGGAGAAGCATAGAATAATCTCTGTGATAAAGAGAGGCCTTTCACATCTAAACAGCAACTGGAATTCCACAGCCTTTCTGAGGCCTGTTTTCTGCAGACAGAGGCAGGCACGGTGTCTCAGGGCTCTGGGGAGTCTCTGAAGGTATATGATATGCACAGCTGGGAGCCAAAAAGGGCACGAAGGGCTCCCCTTCCGTACTCCCATGCTGAGGCTTAGCACCCTTTGTCCTGATTGGTAGCCCTAGCTGAAGGATTGAGCCTGACTTGAGGAGTGTTCAAGGATGAAGAAGGAACAGGAGAAAAACTGACTTATATGGTCTTGTGGTGATAACACTGCAGCCAGAGTAACTACCCAGAGGTGGATGGAGTCAGAGCAGAGAGGCAGGAAAGGTGGGCGTCAGGATAGCACCACCCCTGCAGTTCCCTGCAGACCCCTGTGAACACTTATTTTTCAGAAAGGAAGAAGCAAGAAGCCTTGGTAGGGCTTTGAAAAGTTGCCCCCCACCCCAGAATCAAGAGGCAAGTGAAGACCATGTGATGAATGGGCTGGTTCTTGTGTCCCCTTGCCCCTGCCAAGATGTTAGCCTGTCTGGGTAAGTTCAGTGCCAGTAGCCCATTACGTGGACAGTCCTCTGCCAAGTCTTCCTGGTCACCATGACCTGTATGTTTCCTTGGATAAGGCCCAGGGTGCAGACATAGCCCACTCGGGACTCCGGGATGAGGAGAGGTTCTCACTAATTCCCCAGGAAGTGTGTTTGTTGCAGTTACTTCCAGTCCCCTGCTTATAAAAGCCTGTGTTTTTCCTCAGTAAGTGCTAGTCAGCGTGTTTTTTCCCTCAACTCGCAAGCCCCTCGTTTAATGAATAAAACGGTACCTTCAAGGCTCCCAGACTTTTGCAGGATCTGGCCTGGGGATAGACCCTGCAGCCTGTGACAGCCAATGACTCCACACTGGTCACAGAAAGCCATATGCGCCTCAAGGCCTCCCCTGTCCTTCCTCACACACATGCCACCACCCTCTTTTTCCTGGATAAATAGGAGCTTGGCTGCCGTTGGCCTCCCCCATTCTGCTTTCCCCAAAGACAGGAGCCAGCCTCGCACTGAAGGAGCAGGAACTGTGGTCTCCCAGCTCGGCGTGGAACCACACAGCTCTCCTGCACAGGCCGCTCACTGCCCTCTCGCTTTGGGAACTTACTGACTAGACTTCTATAAACTTGTTTCCTTACCAATAAAAGAGAGATAACAATGCCTACTTCCAAGCAGTGTTATGATAAAGGCCCTGCTATAAAGTGTTTGAAAAACTTCTAACTATTTGCTGTTAAAGTTTATTATTTCCTCAATTGTGATTCTTCCCAGTTATGTCATTGAAGTAGAACACTGCTCATTCAAGTGTTCAGATAATAAAAGATTCCATTTCAATAAACTTCTTGCCTAAATCAACATCCATTTGGAGGCCATGGCGTAGAAAATGATTCTAGATCACATTAGGACATTTTTCAACCTTATGGGATAATCTGGCGCTTTGGTCACTCATCACTCTAAACAGGAGTTCGCATGGTATGCTGGGGCTGAGGGCGTACTGGGCTGTCAAACGGCCAAAATTAAAACAACACCCAGAAGAGTAGCATGTCTCCTGGCCATTTCATTCTTTTTCCTAAAGGAAAGAGTAGGGGAAAGCACAGAGTAAAAATGGATGGTTTTTAAGTTGATGGAGATTTTTGCACCTTGTGGTTCTAATGGATTAGAAAAAAGAGGTCAAGAAATAGGGTGCAGACAGTAGAGATGGGCACTTGCTAGATTTTTAGCCTGAATGAAAACAAAGAAGCTTCCTAGCAGGGAAACAGATCTTTGGTGCTGGGTCTAAACTCACTGGATGAATGGAAGAGTTCAGTGTTTGATCTGTGGGCATAAGTGGGTGTTGGAAACCTCTTTGTTCCTCATCTCCCCCAGAGCACAGAGATATTACAAAACTCTCTCATTTAGGTATAAAACACATGGAAATGCAAGAGTGGACTCATGTCATATGTATCCATCACATTCCTTGATCAGCTACTACTGTACAAAGTCTTCTAGAAATGAGAGAGCTAAATCCAGAGAGGCAAACTTGAGTGAGGATTATACAGCTTCTTAGGTCCAGAGCCAAGGCTAGAATCCAGGATTCTTCCCACTGCTCTTTCTTATTTTATTTTTAAATGTACTTATTTGCTTATTTACTTGCAGTAACAGGAGTTGAACCCAGGACTTTCACGTTTAACTGCATCCCTAGTCTGTTTTTTATATCTCATTTTGAGATAGAGGCTCACTAAGTCATTAAATTAACCAAATTGGGCTTGAACTTGTGGTCCTCCTACCTCAGCCTTCCAGAATGCTGGGTTTACGGGTGTGTGCCACTATGCCGAGCTTTGTTTTTTTAATATAAATTTTATTGTATATAGTTAAGGTAAACAACATGATGTTATAAAACACACACACGCATACAAATGGTTACTTACTATAGTGAAACAAATTAACATACTCATAATTTCACATAATTATTTTCCCCCATATCAAAAGCAGCTATAATTTACTCATTTAACAGCCTGAATATACTATTTTTTTTTTTGTCTTTTTCCTTTTTATCGATACCGGGGATCGAACTCACGATTGCCTGCTTGCAAGGCAGGTGCTTATGCCGCTGAGCTAAATCTCCAGCCCCGAATATTCTATTATTAATAAAGCCTGAATATACTATTATTAATAAAAATTCTTATGTTGCGCATCAGCTCTTTTGACTTATCCATCAATACGTGTGTCTGTGTGTGTCTCTCTGTGTGTGTGTATATATATATGTATATATATATACATACATATATATGCTATTTTGTATCTTTTGATCTACATCACCCCATTTCCTTCCCCCAGTCTTGATCCTGATAACCAGTTTTCTTCTCTCTTCTTGCCCTCCACCCCAGAATCAAGAGGCAAATGAAGACCATGTGATGAATGGGCTGGTTCTTGTTTCCCCTTGCCCCTGCCAAGATGTTAGCCTGTCTGGGTAAGTTCAGTGCCAATAGCCCATTACCTGGACAGTTACTCTAAGATTTTAGATTTTCTTTCCGTATCTGCCTTATCTCAAAATATACCTTCCAGGTTTATCCATGTTGTAACAAATAGCAGAATCTCCTCCTTTTTATAGTTGAATATTTGCCAGTCTGTTTCTACACTGGTTCATTGATGGACTGTATCTTGGCTATTATGAATAGTGGTGCAGTGAACATGGGAGTGTGTGTGTCTCCATGAATAGTCATTTCATTTCTTTTTTTTAATTAATTTTTTATTTTAAAGGGGGCAAAATTAAACACAACAAAACAGAACAAAATAGGCCATAAGAAAGCAATGTAAGAGATAAATTTCAAAGCTAGATGACCTGAGATCTTCACTGTCTATCATATTGTCCTTTGTTTTCTTCCAAATAGTTGCCCATGTCTTCCAACACAGAGAATTTATACAAAACAACATAATATAAAACTGATCATAATATAAAACTGAACAGAATGAGGCAGGTGTGTTAGGTCTTCAGAACCAGACAATAGGGAAGTCACTAATGGCTTTCACAGAGTCTCTCGTTCTCTTCAAAATAGCTGTCCATACTTTCATTTATATTGAAATTCAACAACAAAACAAAACAGGCAGGGGCGCATGGGTTGCTTGGTTTCCCAGCACTCCAGGTCCCAGCGTGGCACAGGTCCCAGTAAACACTAGAGGCTCCTGTCCTGGGCCACCAGAGCCTGCCACACTCACAGCCACTCACCAGGGAGGCAGGGGTGTCTTCAATCTGTTTCTTTCTAATGAATTAACCATTTCACTGCCCAAGTTCTGAAATGGCCAACAGCTCATATAAAGACATCTCCTTAGGCTCCTGCTTGAAACCAACATCGTCAGGGAGCTGTCAGCCTTGATTCAGGGCCAGGGGCATAATCATTTCATTTCTTTTGGAATGGGTTTTGGGGACATACAGTAGTTATATTTTTAATTTCTTTAGGAAACTCTGTACTGTTTTTCATGATGGCTGCACCAGCCCATGTTCCCCCTTACAGTGTAAAAGGATTCCGTTTTCTCCTCTTGTTAACTAAATCCACAATTGTTTGGTGACCTTTGAAGGATCCCCAAGGTCTAAGAAGTTACCAGGATATAGGAAAAACTGAGATGTTCCTCTTGTTGAGCATGAATGACAAGTGTGCTTTCTTCTCCTGTCTCCCAAGTAGTATCATGTGGCAAAATCTGGAAGCGTCAGGAACATGAAGTCTCGGAGAGAGCTTGGGTGCTGTCAAATCACCAAGCAACAGGACAGGACTCTATCTTTGGTGCTACAGTTTCTTCTGAGACCCTCGTGGCTTCCTTGTATCTCTCCATATAAATATGACTGACAAGGAAGCATGGAGAGCAGTTACATATTTATGTTTTGAAAATTAGTTCTGTTCTGATTAAATTGTCCAGATGTTCAAAACAGTGGTGGTTGTGGGGAAGGAAACCAAAGGGAATCATTACAACAGAAATATGTTTAAAAAGAAAGCACAGGGCCAGGGATTTTGCTCAGCGGCAAAACTACCTGCTTGGTGAGCATGAGGTCGTGAGTCTAATCCCTGGTACCAAAAAAATAAAAAGTAAACATAGAACTTCAGTGAAAACTAAGACAATACCCAAAAGAATCTAGGTCACTGTCCCTGAGCTTTCCTGCATCCTCGTAAGGGGTCTGCCTTGTGTTCTGTTGCTAGCACAGCAGCACAGGTTGCACAGAGGTGACAGAGTGAGACAACTAGATAACAATCCTTGTCCCATCGTTCACTAAGTCCCTTCCACAGGTATCGCATGCCTGTAATCCCAGAACTCGGGAGGCTGAAGCAGGAGGATCATTGCAAGTTTGAAAGCAGCTTGGGATACAAAGTGAGCTCAAGGACAGCCAGCACTGCATAGTGAGACCCTGTCTCAAAAGATAAAAGTTCCTTTGATACCTTAATCTTTAATTTCTTGTCTATTGAGTATAATAAGTATAATAAATACATCAGGGTAATAAGAACAATGCTGGATTGTTTTCTTTCCACTAACCATCTCTTCTTTTCTAATGGTTCCTTCATTGTATTTGGGGTGCAATGTGGCCACCTGAAGGGCTGTATCTCTGGCCCTCCTTTGCAACTCTGGATGCCAAACAAGTTGTAAGTGGAAGTCACCATGAAAGAGTTCCAAAATTTCTTTAAAAAGATTTCTTTTGTTTTTATCCCCAATTTGTTTCCTCCTGACTAGTCCTCAGATAAGATGCCTGGAATCCCAGCAGCTGTTTTGGATCATGAGACAGAAAGTCCTAGAGAACAGAAAGATAAGAGGAGACTGGATCCATGCTGACCACAAGTCACCTTACTACTAGACTTCAGGATTTCTTTTACAGAAAGGAAAAGTAGATGTGTATCTTAGAATTCTTATTCAGATTTACCTGAAATAATAGTCAAACCCAATGCTGATGGAAGAACTTTTATTAATAGGAACTTCATTATTAGAAGCAAATATGATAATCCATATAAAAAGATGGTCTACTGACTAGCATTTAGTAAGTACCCAACAAATGTTGCTGTTACTGCTATTACTAATACTCCAATACTCCACTGTGATGTCTTATCTTCCTCCTGCCTCAGATGTAAGTTCCTTGAGAGTGAACCTTCTATCTTACTACCCTCTCTATGTTTGCCACTGTACCCTGCACAGTTTTAAAACAAAATCATCTTCTTCAGTTAATTTTTTAGTTAAATCTACTGATAAGGGTCAAGATTTATCAATTTTTTTTTTGTCTTTTTCCTTTTTATCGGTACCAGGGATCGAACTCACGACTGCCTGCTTTACAAGGCAGGTGCTTATGCCGCTGAGCTAAATCTCCAGCCCCAATTTATCGATTATTTATAACAAAACCTAGAGAAAGATTTCAGTTTTTACAGAGTTCCGTATTCTCTAATTCTTATATTTTGTACCCTTTTATTTATATGTCAGTTAGCAACCTGTTTTGTTTTTAATTATTTTTGCAGAAAGATTAATGTGCACAAAATCATGAAAAATATGGCCACCAGGATCAAAAATCCATCACATCCAATGATACATCTTTAGTAGCTTTGTTATTATGTTAGATATCTCATACTGAATACTTCTTTATGAGCTCAATGCTGGGCTGAACATTTTTTGTGTTTTGTCTGAATTAATCCCAAAGATCAATCTTACGAGAGAGGTTTGATTTCCTCCATCTCTTATTATAGGGTTGGGATCTGTAAGAGTCCAATGAATGTCAGCCTTTCAAACCAAATTACAGAAAATATTTCTTAAGGGTTCTAGTCTTATAAATCTCATGGAATTTTCCCTGGATATTGTTTCTTTCCTTTTCAGAGACTCATCTAAGGGAAAACAAAGTCTCCAAAAGTGAGAAAAAACCAATTTGCTGACTAAGAGTCTCACTGAAGTATAATTAATATACAAACATCTATACACGTGTAATTATACAGTCTGATGATTTTGAAAAGAAAGCTTAATTCTTCACTTCCTTTTCCTCTGAAACAATCTTTCTTTCTAAAAAATAATCATATTGCCAGGGTTTTAGCTCAGTGGCATATGCGCCTGCGTGGCAAGCATAAGGTTGTGAATTCAATCACCAGTACAAAAAAAAAATAATAATAGTTTAATCACTTGTTAGAAACAAACCAAGATCTTAAAGGTCCATGGAAAGCTGAGAAAACATTTTTCTTCTCATGGAAGAGAAATTTCTTTGGTCCATGGGAAAAGCAAGAATTGAAGGCTTGCTGGCATGGTGGCACACACCTGTAATCCCAGCACTCGGAAGCTGGAGGCAGAAGATCTCCGTGAGTTTGAGGCCATCCTGGGCTACCTAAGCCAGTCAAGGCCCGCCTGTACTACATAGTGTCTCAAAAAAACAAAACAAAAAAACTGAAGGCTTCAGAAAAGTTCCTGCCATCCCCCCTCTTTCCTTGCAAAATCTGTTCCTTATTCCAGGGCCACCGGGAGGCCCTTGCCTTTCCTTGTGTGTCTGGAAGGGGAGGCTCTCTCTGTTCCTTTCCTTTTTATATTTGATTAATTCCATATCTTTATTTATTTATGGGAGGTGGCTCTCAGGAATCAAACTCACAACCTCACACTTGCCAGGCAGGCACTGTGCCACTGAGCTAAATCTCCAGCCTTAATCCCTATCTTTCATTCACAAACATGCTTTGTCTCACATCTCAGTTCCATGTGTTAATTTGGGTGCTGTAAATCTGAAATAAAGATATCGACTTTATATGCGAATTAAATCCAAGGGGATAAAAAGCTGCCCTGATTATGACATTGACATAGTCATGAATTAGTTTAGGGCACAAAGATCCAGCTAATCCACAAAAGCTGTCCTGCAGACCTATTTCACACAGTCATTCGATTCAACTGACTCTTGAATTTTATAGCCATGGAAGTCACAGTGTTTTCCCAGGCTCTTGGAGTGCCCGGGTCAAGAATGCTGACAATCCGCTGTCAGAGAGAGAGGCTGTCAGCGTCACCCCCTATCAACCCTCCCAGTCATCACTAGCATCAGAACAAGCCGGCCGCCCGCTGCCTTGTGACAAGCGCCATGACTCGGGAGGGCGCCAAGTGCTATGAATGAAACTCCAGAGAAGGTCGTTCTCTGTTAGGAGAACATTGGCACTGGCATCGCCTGAGCACATACATAATTTTGAATTTGAAAACAGATTACTGGATTGTCCCGTACATAGAGATCCATCCCCTTTCTTCTCTCCTGAGGGTTCTAACCTCCTCCAGCTGAAGACTTTAAATCAAAGATGAAAATGAGAAGACACATTTGGGTTCTTGGCAAACAAAATAAATAAATAATCTTGCTTCGCATCATTTTATCTGGGGCTTGTGCATGGCATTCACCCAATTCCTGGCAAGGGCAGCGACAAGTTTACCACACCACCTAGCAGGATCCCACGGATATCTACAGGTCTGTTACGCTCCACACACTTTCAGGAAACATTTCCTTTGATACCTAAACAAAAGGGCTGGGAAAGCCATCAGCTACCTCAAGTGAGGGTACAAACTTCCAAATCACTTCTGCGTTTTTCAGCTCCACAGATAATTTCAAGATCTCAGGAATGACTAACTAGGGACACAGAAAACATTCCATGCATATTTTCAGAGCCATGAGATAAACACCAGTGGCTTTTTAACTTGCTTTCTAAATGATTTTCAATGATTTGCTTAAAATATATATATTTTAACAGCTACATTTAAAAAATATGTCCTTTTCAAAATATATTTCTGGTTCCTTTTGTAATTCCACTACTAGATCGAGGTTTTTGTTAATCTAAACCTCGGATTGTATTGGAAAGGACTAAAACATAGTTTTCATTTTTAAAACTGTAGAATTAAATAATACAACTATTGTTAAATTCCTATCATGTCTTGAAATCTTGTATCGCCATTTTTTCGGGGTGTCTTTGTTGTTGGTGTTGTTGTTGTTGTTTGTCTCTTTTGTTTTTTGTTTCTTCTGTGGTTTTTTCACTTAAAAAAAAAAAACATAAATAGGTTTTCCCAATTCTATAGAGCCTTTAAGAAGATTTTTATATAATTGAGATGAAAATTTACACCTTAGTATAAAAAGAAATGATGACTCTTTTATTCTGATGTTAAAAGATTCTATGAATGGTGTCTAAAAGCATTTTGCAAATAATTATTTGCAAAAATAATCACTTTGAATTTTATAAATTGTCCCCCAAGCCTTACAAATGTATTAGTGACCCAGTGGGAAGAATGTTAATTAAGAATCAGGAGAGCCAGATTCAGGTTCCAATCCAAACTTTGATTTTAAATACCAGTGCGATGTTGGTTAGGTTAACTGGTATCACCTGTCTTCATTTTCCTTGCTGTAAAATGGATTGACGTGGAAGGTGTTTCAGCATTCCCACAATACCATTATCAGCTCGGATTTCAAGCTCAACATTTATGCAGGTAGAGGAAAGTACTATTGTCTGAAGTCTTATATAAATCTGGCTCCACCAGCTGCCAAGATAGTCACACACCTTAAGTCTCCCTGTGGTCCCCTGGCACTTTTTAGAGGAATCAATAGCTGCATTTAAACCTCCAGCAATAATTACAATTACTACACACAGAGCCAATGTGCTGTGGCAAGTATCAAATTCATTCTAATGGCTGCAAATTCAATGCATATTCTAATACCCATCCTTCACATTTCTTTTGCCATCAGAAACAGAGAGGAAATCACTGAGTGGTCCTCCCACTGAGCTGGAGTCATCCCCTCTAGTAATGATGCTGAAACCTTGCAACAGGAAGTGATGAAGGGACCTGGTTACCCCACAGACTACTGCCTTGTCATAGGTGTTCAGGCTGAGGAGGACTAACCCTGAAAGCAGGGTGCTCAGAGCTCTAGGACAGCTGCCCTGGCATCTGTCAGCCACTAGATACCGGGTTCCACACAAAAAAACTGACCACCCTGCTTTCATGGACCATGAAAGTTACTACGGTAGCAAGAATTGGGTGTGTGTACATGTGTGTGCCTGTGTGTGTTGGGGGGTAATACACATTTAAGAGGTATGTATGGAGCTACTTGGACTATTAACAGCAACTACAGCCAACTTCGTAGAAATGAACATTTTTTTACCAGCTTAAAAAAAATGGAGAAGATGCCTTACGCTGTTACAAGTTTGGCTTCTTTGACTGTGATGAGTCACAACGCTGATCTGTGCCTTTGAGGCAATGAGTCAGCCCCGCCGAGGTAACGCACACACACTACTGCTTAGAATCTACTGTGACAAAGTTCAAAACCCTTGCAAAATAACTCAGCTGTCAGCTTGCATAGCGATGGACTGCTTCAACTACAAGCTTCAAGAGAAACCAATAGAGGACAGTGACATAATTAAAGCTATGAGACTCCCCTGGAGTCATTTCCTTTTTCTTTCTATACAGCCGTTGAATACTCATTTATCTGTTGCTTTGGAAACACAAGATGTCTAGTCTTACAAGACATCAGTCTGTGTTTGTGCACTCTCTGAAATGACTTTGAGGGGATTGAAAGTGTGCGACACAGTCACATAGACTGTTTTTCCAAGCCCCTGTTTTCAGAGCCTGACCAACTGTGAGATGCTACAGGTAAACGCCCAAGCAGGGAGAAAAGCATTATCACACATACTATATCTCGGAAGCAGTTAAATCTTGACACTGTATCATGGGGGAACAAAATGGAATGTTTTGTGTCAGGTCCTAACATTCAAGACCAAATCAGGCCTGGATAACTCTCCAGCCAATGAGATCTACTCCCAGCAATATCCATCCCCAGTGCAAACTCTCCCTCCGCCTGTTCAGTCCCCCAGAGTTCCGGCATTACAAGTGTGTGTCACTGTGCCCGCTACCAGGCTCACTTTGTAGTAGTAAGGCTAGAACTGCAGGACTCTTGTGCTAGGAGACTTACTTGATACTGACCTTTCTATGTGATCAGTAAGGGTATGTGCTGGGGCCTAGGAGAAAGCAACAAAGCCAAAAGATACTTTGCCGAATAGATTGATATGGCCAAAGAGTCCATTACTCAGGCTCTGTGTCTATCATTCTGGACAGCTGCAATGTTGTATTCATATGATTCTGTCCACTTTAACATAAATGTATGTTTGGCTCAAGTTCTGTAAGAAATGCGAATTATTTGGTGCTTCTTTTTAGTCACAATAACATCCTCTTTCTTAGAATCAAATTGTTCGGATCAGAATACACACAAGGGCTGTGAATGTGGCTCTGAGGTAGAGCACCTGCCTGGCATGTGAAGGCCCTGGGTTCAAACCCTAACATGGGAAGTAGGGGTCAGGGTGGAGATACTCTTACAGAATACATATGTGGATAGAAATATCTAACACCTAATTTTTAAAACATCAAATCTTGATAATAATAGCATTTTCATTTTGATATTGCTTTAATGTACAGGAAGTCATCAAGGGTAGCTCTGGGACTTGACTACACGTAAGGTCCACTGCTACTTCCTGGAGTGTTCGTCATGATCGCTCCTCATAGGCAGGGCTGTCATTCCCACCTACACACAGACAGATGAGGGAGGCTCAGAGAGATTAAGTGGCTGCCTGATACCACAGGACTACAGAGAGCTGGAACCAGGATCCCAGTCTATGCTCTTTCCAACAAGATTTACTTAACATGTTCGTTTCTGCAGTACTAAGAACAGAAACTGCTTAGAGAGCAATAGGCAAATTACTGAAACAGTATATCAACTCAACGGGATATTATGCTGTCATTAAAATTAAGTCTTTGAAATATCATAGTGAGGATCATAGCTACTGTTTACTGAATGCTTACTTTGTGACAGCCCTTCATGCAAACTGCCTAATTTTGGTTTCACAATCCCATGAGACAGATACTATCATTGTCCACATTTTACACATGAAAACCAAGACCAAAATAAAGTAAATTACTTGCCCAAAGGAACACAGCTAATAAGAACAAGACGATCTGGCTCCAAAGCGGAGTTTTTCAACCTTGACATGATTATCATTTGAGGGCAGATAATTCTTTGTTGTGGAGGGCTCTCCTGGGCATTGTAGGATATTTAGCAGCTTCCATTCTACCCAACAGTTGTAAAAACCAAAAATGTCTCCAAATATTGCTACATGTCTCCAGAGGAACAAAATTGCTCCGGGCAACACTACAAAGCCTACTACAATGCTTAGGTTTAACCATTATGCTATATACTCCCCTTCCGACCCCAGCAGGCTTCATGCAGAAATCTGATGGTGACAGAGGAGGACATGGTCAGAGACAAGATTCCCTGAGGAACACACCTGAGAGTCTGAGATTTGACTGCAAGAGGTTGGGGAGGGATGGAACAAGGGTAGTGTCCCTGAGAACTTCAGCAGTGACGAAGCTAGGATGCCAACTCAGAGCTAGGATGCCAACTCATTGTAAGGGGACTGAGCCAGTTCCACAGTGAGCTCTGAAACTGGGGTAACTTTTCTACAGTTGTGCTGTCTGGAGACCACTGGTCCTGGTTTTTATTCACTCCTCATAGCCCACTCACTGGATGGGTGTTTCCTCCCAGGTGGGGTAGTTTCCAGAGCAAGAGAGGGCTCCATAAGAGCCATTCAGGAGAAAGCATTCCCACTAACACTCCAAAACTGATCCCCTCTAAGTGGTGATTCGAGTGAAGCACCATAGCTACATATGAGTATTTCAATTGTATAACTGTAAGTAATTTAAAATACATGAATACATGGACCAAGATTGAAAAGTAACAAATTAAGTCATTAAAATGGCAATTCTATTTTGCTTCTTTTTTTAAAACAAATGATTAGTAGGATATTACCCTACTAACCATACTATTCTAGTCATTTAAAAACAAGTGCTGGGAAAAAAATAAGTGCTGAAACTTCAGAAAATTTAACTCATAGCTTCAAAATACCATGTATTATACATTCATGTTATTACGGTTCTCAGATCTGTCATAGGGGAGCTTCCTTTTGTAGCAATGCCAGGCACTGTTCTAGGAAAACTTAAGTGTATTAACTTATTAAATTGCCTCAATAACTCTGAGGTGAATACTTTTATTAACTCCATCTCATACAGAAAATTAAATTTCCAAGAGGTTAAATAATTCAAGATCTGGGCTGGGGGTTTAGCTCAGTGGCACAAGCGCTTGCCTGGCAAGTGCGAGGCTGTGAGTTTGATCTCCAGTGCCAAATAATAATAATAAAGATCTATACAGCAATTAGTGGGGGGACTGGGACTTGAACCCATGTACTAGAACTCTTCTGTCCTGGCTCTCAGGGACCCCGTTTGACCACCTTCCATACACTTGTTTCACATATTAACCCTTGTACCCTGATGTCTGATTTTAGTTCCTTTAAAAAAAAGAGGAAGCAGAATAAAAAGATTTTTTTAAATGCCATCAAAATTCTTAAAGTCGTCATTTAGACACCAGTAGTTTGTAAAAATAAAGTGATTCTTCTTCTTTTTTTTTAGAGAATCAAGCCCATCTTCTGTTTTCAGCATAAAACAAAGCTTTATAGATACCTGTTTGAAGAATGGTTCTCTTAGTGTCAAAGCTTTATGCTCCTGAGATGTAAAACTCAAGAGAAAAATCAGCCTCAAGCGATCTCCTCTTTGGGCCCTATGGAAAATTCAACTCAAGTTCATTAATATTCTGAAAGCTAATTATTTCACCAAAAGATGAGTGAATTTCTATCTTCAAAATTTCCAATTAATTTTAGCCCCCAAATCATCTTTTGCTTCCCAGAATGGCCATGGTCCTTGCAACAGCCAAGCCCACTAGATCCTGGGGTCCTGAGGAATACAGTATTACGTGTCCCGTGAATGAGGCCTTCCAAACGTGCACCCGTCAGCTGTCTCAGTACTTTATTTGAAATGGAATGCATTGTGAAAATATGAAAAATAAATCACATCTTTGCAAAATCGTTTATGAGACATATGTACACAAATTCTGACGAAGTTCACAAACGTAATGGCTGATAAAACATTTGGTAAACAGTGGCTCTCGCTCTCAAGAAGCTGGTACTTGCATATTCTGAAACTTGAAGTACAGTGCTGACCTTGGAATGTAACAGAATTGTTTTCTCCTTCTTTAAAAACTTGCTTTCCTTGACTAGTCAATGTCTAGCTTCAGAGCAACAATGGACGCTAGCCCTGGACGGTTTTTACACGGATACTTCTCACGTCCCAGAAATCTTTTTATCGCTGGGCAAAAATGTCCTTTTGTATGTTTTTGCAGTAGTGGGGCTCAAACCCCCCACCTGGCTCACGCTAGGCAGTGCTGTACTACTGAGCTCTCCCCTGACTGCAAGAATGACCTTCCTAAGAGTACTTCGTTGGGTTCTGTACTCTATTTGACAAATGACTTTGTGACCCAGATTTTATAAATCTGGACTGGCTACTCAACACTGCAGATCAAAAGGTCCCTCTTCAAAACCATATCAAGAATTTAGTTCCTAAAACTTACCAAGGTTTGTATTTATTAAAGAAAAGCAAATGCTCATAGGCGAATCCCATGGGATTTCTCCCTATTCACTGAGGTCTTAGGCCCTTCTAAACCTATGAGGCATGCACTCTGCACCCTAACTAGATCACATCACTATCCCAGGAACAGAAAGCAAGTGATATGTTTGAAAATATATACTTGTTCAGTATCAGATTTTAAATCAAGGTTTTTAAAGAGAAGTACAGAATGCTTGGTCCATGAAAGCAAGAAGAGTTCAAACAGCCCTTTTAACTGAAACCAGATTTCCTACAGTGTGTAAGGGCAATTCTTTTAAGCAATATATAGAGCGGGGCTTTTTCTCTTTTTTAAACTATTATTGAAAAAACTACGTGGAGTGAAATGATAAATTTGGCATGAATAGAGAATCTCAGTTTGCTCAATGAGGAAAACATTCGTTCTGAAAAGGCTCCTCACAGACATTTATTCTGTGACTTCACCACTCCCAGCAGGTCAGAGTGGATTTCTGCTATGCATTTAAAGAGCTTCATGATGCTCAGCCTGTCGCAGGACTTACTGTTCTCAGGAAGACGAGTAAAGGAAGTGCTCAGAGAGGCAACAGAAACAACCTCCTAGCTGCTGAAAAGCACACATTTTTTCCTTCTTTCATTCATTTCTCCCAACAGCCACTGAGCCCTTAGCTACACGCTTGTAGATTTCAATACAAGTTCAAGGACAAGTTCAGTTTCTAGATGGGACATTTAATTTTTTAACTTTTACATTTTTATGTTTGTTTAAGGGGTGGGCTGTCTATTACACTTGTACTGTTATACTCTTCTTTGATTGAAAGTATTTACTCTTTTTCTATAAAGCTGACCTGTCAGGCCTCATAGCACCTTAAGGTTTGCATGATTTTCTTAGAGAGAATAAACACTTTGAGATACTAACATGATGTGCATTTGTATTTAATTTTGTTTAGTTTTGCTGAGCATGCTCGGTTTTTTCTGCTCTAGGAAAAAATTGCTAAATCTCAATACTTTCAGGGTTACTGAAACAATTAAAAAAGCCATCCTACTTTTTCTAACTTCTAAAATTTCACAGATAAATGTTAAGACAGGATCAAACCAGAGAGCCATAAAGAGGGTCCATTCAGCATAAGTGGTAAGCAGACCAAGGAACGAGAAACCATGATTCCAGCAGTCTGTTAATAGCCATGACTACTTGGGCTAAAAAAAAAAAAAACTTCAGTCGACAGATGGACATATTTTTCCAACAATGAGATTATCTTGTGCTATACATCAGATAACATACATCTTTACAAACCTACATTAATCTTAATTTTCAACATATTTGGTATGGCTTTTATATTTTAACAAGAGTTCAGAAGATTCACTAATTAGAAAGAACTATGGATTAATTTTGAATTATGATGTGCATATATTAAAAACTATCATACTATGAGGCATCCCTTAAAAAACAGCAGTAGTTCTCAGCAGGCCAAATCAAACTGGATTTAAGAATCTTTCACTTTGGCTCGCTGAGCTGTCATGTATACATACTCTATTTTTAAATTGTGTTGGCATATTTTCACAACTGTAGCCTAAGCAACCCCCTGGAAATGGGACTCTAGTTTTGTTTGCCATTTGCTTAAATTTTAATTTTCCCTGCAACTTTTTGCATAAGAATTATGATTTCAAAATTTCATTGAAATTTTTCCCTAGTTTAACTGTGCATCTCAGCAGTAGCTTAATACTGACCAGTCTTGCCCACCCCATCATACCCCACTGTTATATCCTGTCCTGGGGACTGAACACAGAGCCTTCACACTGAGCTATATTTTGCGGGTCTTTTTTAAAACTTTTTGAGACAGGGTCTCACGAAACTGCCCAGGCTAAATTCAAATTTGCTATCCTCCTGCCTCAGCCTCTTAGGGAGCTAGGATTACAGGCATGCATCACCACACCTGACTTAATCTTTCCAATTTAATGCTGGAAAACTACTGATCGAGACTCTGCGAAAGGCAATGAGGAACTGAGCCATTAGTAAAGCCGTGCAGATAGGAAGTGATTTTCAGCCCCATGAGAATTTGGTATCTTCTATGGCTCTTTTAAACTTAAGTACATCTGCCTTGAGGATTTTTACATCCTTTTGAAGTAACACAGAAGAGGGTTTGTTCTACCTTTAAAAGCACATCCTCTTCTCCCCACTATCCCTTAAAACTCCTGAACAAGTGACTGCTAAAACAAGACTCCGGTTGTTTGCTTACTGAAAATCCATTGTTTATCCAGTCCTTCCTCTTTCAGTGTCTGAGTCTAACTAACCGAAGGAAACACAACCCTAAAATTTCTCACAGAATAGAGAAAAACAGCCAGTTTCAAACATTAATATTATTATTTTCTTCTGTGTGGAAATCTAAAAATTATGACTCCTAGTCCATTAATATGCTTACAAACTGCATTTTAAACCATAAGATTCTTCAGTATTCTTATAGAACAAACTAAACAGATCAGAAAATATGGTTTAAGTCAAGTGTGCAAATCTCTTGCTGGAGGATATTATAGTCTGGAAAGGGGAACAAATACTCTCAAACAAGTTGCGTTATTTACACCACCCCCACTATTTTGAACTGAAGCATCTAATATATTCATAAGTTACAATCAAAATGACTTTTTTCTTTCCTTTTATTTTTTACTTGTTGTTAGGCGTTAAACTCAGAGCCTGGCACTCTCAAGGTTAAACTATACACCCAGCTCCAAAAAACCTCTCCCTAAACCTTCACAAACTGATGACAGGAGCTCCTAAATAGACCCACTCCTACTACATAATCAAGACAGGATCATTTTGCTCTCAGTTGGGTTAGTGGATTAAGTTATTTTGAAAGCAGGTATCATTACTACTGATTTTCTTTTAGAAAAGCATTATCTTGAGCATTATATTCATAATTATATAATTTTGAGCTTTTAGTCTTAAAAAGCTTTTATACAAAGTATATTTAAGGAAGAAATCTCAGAGAAAAAGATAGCATCAGAGTTTAATTTGAACCACCTGGCATAACAATGAAAGTGTCAGACCTTCTGAAAATGCCTTAGGAATACTGAATGATGTTTAATGTTTTCCCCTCCATCACCCTTTTCTTCTTTCCCAAGATTAGAACTTACTACAGAGTAGATTTTTAAAAATAAAGTTTCTTTTTTGAAAAATGGCCTACATTCAGAAATGTCTTAGAACAAGCATTAAAAAAACTAATAAATAATCATAAACCAAAATACATTAAAATAAAATTACAGTACATCATTGCTTCTAGAAGGTCCACTACATTATAAGATCCTTTCAAAGGTTCATAAGTAAAGTCTTCTCGACTTAGAATCGCTTCCTGCACGGTGATGATGAATAATGCAGAAAACTAGGAGGAATTGCAAGTTATCAGTCAGGTGATATCCAAACTACTTGATCTGGTGCGGGGCGGGGAGACTTTTGTTTTTTGATCCAAGTGAAGACACTGTGTTCGTCCCACTTCCTCAAGTCCTCAAAACCTGGAAAGAAATGACACTGAATGAAGCAAGTGGCTCAGAATCCTCCAAGACCCAGTTCTGTTTGGCTCAGGCAGCGGGACAGAGTACAGAAAGACATCAGATCGCACCGAATTGGTGCAGACACTGTTAGGAGGCGCCGAGGCGAGCTCCGCCGAACAAGGGAAAGGCGGGGAGAGGGTAGTCTCCTCTCTGCTGAGGCTCCTGGCTCCGGCGGGTCTCCTTTCCACCTCCCCATAAACTTAGAATGATTTCTCACTTGTTCACCCAAGAGCCGACCAGTGAGGCAGCTTCCTACCCCTCCCGACCTCCGCTCGACCCGGGCCAAGAGAGGCCAGGCCCTTACCTCGTCTTGCCCGAGCGCTGCCCCCTTCAGGCAGAGTTAGAGGTGCTGCGCAGAAGCCGGTGGCCGTGCGTCTGGAGGAGCTGCTGCGAGTGCGGTGGTTGGTGCGGATGCGGTAGTGGGTGCGAGTGTGGGTGTGGGTGAGGGTGAGGGTGCGAGTGAGGATGAGAGTATGAGTGTAGTGGCTGAGGCTGAGGCTGAGGCTTGAGCTGGGGCTGAGCCTGTGGCTGGGGCTGGGGCTGGATTTGGGGTTGGAGCTGGGGCTGGGGTTGGGGTTGGAGCTGGGGCTGGGGTTGGGGTTGGAGCTGGGGTTGAGGCTGAGGCTGGGGCGGGATTTGCGGCGGTGGGGGCTGCTGCTGGACCAGGTGCTGCTGCTTCTGTCGCGTGGACTTGACCGCCAGGATGGCCTGACGGTTCTTGTACTGCACCATCTGCAGAGTGATTTCAGCGTTCCAGCCCTGGTCCTGCGGACACCGAAAGTCGATCTCCTTGCCCTCTGCCATCACCACAGTGAAGTACATATACTTGCCCTTGCGCTCCACACAGTCTACAGTCTTCATGTTGGAAAAGTGCAATTCCTTCAGCTTGACCGGTGGCTCAAGGCCAGAGACAGCCGGGCAGCTGGGCTGGGACGGCTCGGCTGTCCCCTGCCCGGGCTGTTGCTGCTGGTGCTGAAGCTGCTTGGGCGGAATGAGCAGCAGCCCCTCTTCAGTGAGGATGCAGCACTTTTTCTTCCAGAGCTGCAGCAGCCCGTCGCTGCGCTTCTCCAGCACGCCCTCCTTTAGTGCCTTGCAGCTGCTGCTCTCCAGCATCCTCCTGGCATAAGGGGGACCGCCGATCGTCTCTGCCTCTCCGTTTCCAGCCGAGCGGGGCGGGGGCAGTAGCAGCAGCCGCGCGCCGTCCTCACCACAGCGGCTCCAGTGGCCGCCGGTCCGGAGCGCGCAGAGACTGACTCGCAGGAGGCAGAGTGGCGGCGGCTCAGGGTCCCGGCACAGAGGCAGCCGCGTCCTGATGCGCCACCAGGTCCCGGAGGTACGAGCTGCCGGGCCTCTGCCGTTGTCTTGCGAGCGCTCACTGAAGGGCACTGGCCGGGCTCCCTCGCAGTGCTTTTGAATGGGCCATCCTCCCCACCCCCGAGTGACACCCAGCGGAAAAGGCGGCTCCTGGCGCCGGCACCGCCGGGAAAAGCCCAGCCCGGCAAGGCGCTCGGCTGCCGGCGCACGCCTCATTAACTTTAGGGCCTTCCCAAAGCCGCACGAGCACGCCTCCAGCAGCCTTGCTCCGCCCCTCGCCACCCACTCACTTCCGCACTTTTTTGTCCACAAGGGGGCAGGAACCCAGCCCCGGAAACTCCTTTTCTCCTCCGTGATAACTTAGGGCGCCACCAATGCCGATGCCCAGAGGGTGCTAAAAGGTCATCTCTACTATCCCGCCTCTCCCTGCCCCGGGTACCCCTCCTTGCGACAGCCTAAGTGAGGTCAGCGCTGGGAAGGCAGGTAAAAGCAGCAGCACTCGAATACAAAACTGTCTTCTAACCTCGGATTTGCAGAGCTAAGATCCTGCATGGCTAGTAAGTACTCTGTTCTAGGAGAGCAGGGAGACTTGAGGTTCAGGAAGCACTAGGGTCTGTTGTAGGTGTGTCCCTCAGACTCGGACATACACATACATCTTTAACTTTACCAAGGCTGCAAGCTGAGACAACATCTCACACTTTTGCTCACTGAGTTGGTCCTGGAGATGTGTTGAACTAAACCAAAAACGACTACAGCGTTTGGGAAGGGCGGTAAGATGGACCCACTTCCGGAGTGACCCTGGAGCTCATGCTAGGGTTCTCCATCCTCGACCACAAGCGCCTGTGTTTCCTTCAAGACTAGCCTGCAGTCTTCTGGAACTGCAAGCCTGGGAGATGCAGTGCCGAGATCCCGCATTTCAAAGCACAGCTTTGCCCTCGAGATGCTTGGTCAGCCTTGGGAGTCCCTTTTTACAAGCCTCTAACTGAACAAATCTGTCTGGTAATTTTGTGACCTGGATAAAGTAGAGCCCTATTCCACCCCACACACAACACCCACACCCACACAGCAGAAAAGATGTATACACCAAGGTCTAGCCTCCTGTTAAACTAGGTCATTCATTAAATAAACAAGGAGCCCCAAAAGTATGTACTAACCCTGAAGACACGGAAAATAGCAGTAAACTAGGCAGAGCAGGAGGAAAGGCTGTTGCTGGCCCAAAGTGGAGGGCAGGGGCGTTTAGCTTTTCTGCTAAGAAAAAAGAATTCAAGTGACAACAAAGTGAGATAGATGTGTTTAGAGTTAAGCAAGTTAAATTCGGTGTATCATGCTTAAAATTTCCAACTTTTAGACAGGCTAGCAATACATCCCTGTATTCCAAGCATTTGGGAGGCTAAGGTAGGAGGATCACTGAGTTCTAGGCCAGCTTGGGCTATACAGTGAGCTCAAGACCTAACCGCAAAAAAACCAAAACCTGTACATTCAAATTTTCAAACCTAATTCCAAGGATCAGAAGCTTTTTGTTGAGACAAGGTCTCACTCAACTGCTGAACTGTCCAGGTTTAAATTTACCATCCTGCCTCACCTAGTCTAGGAAGTCTAGGAAGTCTGATCAAATGGGACAATTTTGGCACAATCCTGAGTACAAATAAATTGCACCTGGTCAGATCCCAGGCCCTTCAAGTAGTTAAATGTCCTTTACGAGAAAAGCAGTTATAAGTTTGTAGAGTTTTAGTCTAAAAATAACCCAAATGCCCATCAAATACGGAATGGATAAAAAAGATGTGGTAACTTCATACGGTGGAGTGGATGAGGCTTTTATAGGCAAATGGATGTAATTTGAGACCATACTAATAAGTGAAATAAGTCAAACTCACAAATGTAAATATCGTATTATCTCACTAATGTAAAAACAAAAAAATTGGAATAGTAGTAAGATCCAAAATGTACATTAGATATTGTGAAAATGAAAGACAAAGTACTCAAAACAACTACTGGGATGGGAAAAAGGAAAAAAAGGGAAAACGTGTACAGATATACATATGTGTATGCGTTTGTATATATATATATATATATATGTATATATATATATAAAGACAGCTAATCTTTTAAGTTCATCAAAAAGTTTGTGCTTTCATTGGTCATTTTCATGACTAAATCTGAGATACTTCTAAGATAATGATATGCAATACATTAACTAGTGTTAATTTCCTATTTTTTTGGAATTTTGTACCATTTTTAATAAAGAATTATGAAAAGATTTGCAATTCTACGTCAACCACTAACACTAGAACATCTCATTTTGTTTCTTTGTCTTTAGAACAACTGAGCATTCCAGAGAATTTCTACATTACCAGCTGTTCCTCTTTCAACAATGACATTCTTTAGCTCATTTGGAAGATACTTCCTTGAACTCTGTAATTCAGTCTGAGGACAGGTGAGTTGACAGTCATTTCATATGGAAAGGCAAAAGTTTAACGGGGTAAAAAAAAAAATGTAAACTAGTAGGCAATCTTATTCTTAGAATTCAAGTGTGGTATGATTTAAGAAATGTCTGAACAGCAGCACAATTTTCAAAAGCATCCACTTAACTTTCTATTGGGTATTTCACAATGACCTAGTAATTCTACAATCAGCTTAAAAGTCCATATTCTCACTGCCCACAATGCATCAATTATTAGAAATCTAAAGTGTTAAGAATCTAGTTTATTGGTTCCAACTCTGCCCTTGTTTCAAGTTACCATCAACTCAATGAAATAGCCTTAAGCCTGTTAAGACAACTCACCAAAAAAATGTTACAGGCTGTTTATATAATGAAAACACATAAACGTCACTCCCAGATTGAAGTTTAGAAAGCTAGCTGACAAAAAATTATTGGTTTGGTAAACAAATATGAAATGGCTAACCCAAATCGCATTTTATGGATGGTGAAGAAATTATCAAGTTATTTTCTGCTCTTGGATAGATGTCATCACCTGACATCAAGGATATTACACTTGGTTTTCTACTTCAACCTGTCCTCCAGAAGTTCATCTTTTCTCCCAGTCTTAAAAGTTCTTTTTACATTTAATTCTGTTGATCTTATCCAGTCTCACTACATGACAGACTCCCTAATTTCTATCCTCAACTTATATTCAACTGCTTCTTGCTACAAAATAAAAGACGGCTAAAGCTAAAGAAGTTAACATGCTGGGCAAGAAAAGAAGTGTGGGGACTTTCACTTAAAAGTTCACTGGAGAGTAAAGTCTGAGGACTTAAAGGCGAGTTCATAGAGCTTTTGTTTAAAAAGAAAAAAATTCTAGATAAAACAGAAATCCACAGATTTATGCATGTTAAAATTCCTTAGCTAGTCAGCATGGCTGTAGTCTAATACATAACTTCAGCTGATACATTCCTAGCCAGTGCTACTGTAGGATCAAACATCTCCACAGTACTGTTTCAAAGTCCAAAAAAAACCTTCTCAAAAACTGCTCTCACCCTGACCTATATGGATTCAACCTGTGTTGATGGTATGCAGCTCCCTCATCTAGAGCCCTGATCTTTAGGACAGTGCACCAGAGTGAAAACGGCACACTCATCTGGAAGAACCCTTACTCTAGACTGTAGTTCAGATGACCTGGATTCCCAGTGGGCTCCAGTGTCAGTGCCACCACTGCGTGGATGTGTACTGTGATGTGTACAGGGGCTAGCTAGTTTGTGTAGGCTAGTGTCCATACAAATGTGCAGAGGCTCTCAGGTCAAAGCTAGAAGTAAAAAGCAATGCAAAGTGGGACACGCACGGGCTGAGGTGCAGCTCTGCTCACAAGTTACCTTCTGGCATAGTTTTAAGCCTGACAAGTCCAGGCTCTTCTAAAAGGTTGCATTTGTCAGACAGGAGCATCAGACATTTTTTTAACAACTTCAAACAAACAGTATCTCCCACTGTACTTGTGCCCAAGATTGCCCTTGTGCTAGAACCATGTCTGCCTTGATGTAACTTTTCTCCCAATACTTAAATCTGTACATTAATCAGAAATTCACATTGGTTATACCTTCAAGTATATGCTACTACCTTCATCATTTACCTGATCAGCCACTTTCGTCTTCACTCTACCTTACAGTAATAGCCTAACTTATCTAAATATTTACCTTCTGTTTTTTTAAGTCATTCCAATCACGTTTAAGACTTTGCTCAGTGTAGCCTATCCAGATTACACGGCAACCATCCAATTCCCATTAATTTGTCCTACAGTATATATTCTTTTGATGTATTAGCCTATTATTCCCCTTGTTGTTGATCCCCTTAACTAGAATAAGGTCTTCCAGGGTAAGGATCATTGTTTTGTATGTAGAAATTTGAAATTCAATCAGAAAACTACTTGCCTTAAAAATAAATTCCTTAAAATGTTTGTGACATCCTCAATATCCACCTTACTTTAAAAAAAATTTTTTTTTGTCTTTCCTTTTTATCGGAACTGGGGATCGAACTCACGACTGCCTGCTTTCAAGGCAGGCGCTTATGCCGCTGAGCTAAACCCCCAGCCCCACTATTAAAATTTTTGAAACAGGACTTCATGAAAACTCCCAAAACTTTCAACACCAACATATATTGTCTATTTTTAAATGAATACTACATATGCCAGCCCTCTGTAAGTTTTTAACTATTTCATAGATGCTATTTAAATTAAATCCTGCATACCTTTTCCCAAGTAATGTAATAAATATTTATATAAGCTATCATCTTTCCGTCTAGTAGGAGTGAACAGTAATGAAACTAAGTTTTTATTTGGCATCTCAACAGCCAAACACTTGTTAACAGGGACTTAATGGAACTCACAGATCTGAATACAGCGAAGTCTTTTGGGCAAGTGAAAAACCATTTATAAAAACGTCATCTCTATCAGTTTATAAAAAAGCACAACAAACAGTTCCATATTCTGAGTGAAAAGGTTAAATATTAACTTCAACACAAATCTATACTTCGGTTTTGCACCGGCAAATGAACTTGGGATCCTGCACTGGGCAGGCAGGTGCTTGTGCCAGTGAGCTATATCCCCAGCTCTTAGTTTTGCGCGCCCCCCCCCCCAGTTTCTTTTATCTGCCTGCCCTTTCTACCTTACTAGCTGATGAACTGACTCCTCCTAGTGACCAACTTTTGTAGCACAACTGAATATCAACGTAAGGCTGCTTGCTTTTCAGCTATTTAAAGTCCTTTACAGAACAAGTCCCACTGCCAGTTTTTATTCCTCCCTCTCAAGTCTTAAGTGTGCTCCAGTCCTGCTTCTACTTACACTAAAACTTAACGCTGAATTCACTGAAATGTTTTTTACTGGAAATATTCAAAGTAGAGCAAAAAGACTAAAGACATTTTGATGG